AGCATTCCGTAGCAAGGGGCTACTCAGACCTGTTGAGCCCATCTCGCAGCCGGTTAGCGTCAACACGCTGCTGTCGTCAACGTCCACGAAGGGGTCCTGCGCGGGGTGGAAAAACAGTGCCCCGTCCTGGACGTCGTTCTCACGCCAATCCAGCCAGCTCGACTGCTGCACACTCCAACGGCCGGCCGTGTACACGCCGTGGCTCACCGGACCGCTGTTCCCCACCAGGCGGAAAACGCTGTGGTCCAACACGTGGACATACGCATTCTGGGACAGAAGGCTCGTCCCCGACGCCATCGTGCTGTTGAGAATAGCGAACACGGAGTGATCGCTCACAATGACAGTGTTCGCGTAGAGAAGATGCGTGTATCCGTCGAAGTGGCAGTTCTCCACGTACAGCGTGCTGCCACCCAGCAGCCTCAGCGTGCTCGCGGAGTACACACCGTACCCGCTTCTGGGGACCGTCCCGCGGGCATGCACGTTGCTGACCATCAGCGAAGACGAGGAAGAAAGCACAACACCCCGCAACATAACGACGCTGAACACGCTGGCAGCAGACCCAGACACGTCGATCTCAGATGACTGCACAGCGTCCACATCCATGACGGCGATGTCGGAGCCCTGCGGTAGGGCGTTTGAAATCGCCACGACGGACGACTCCAGCACCACGTCGCTCACACGGATGAAGACACCCGCAGACTCGGCCGCAGCGCCGCTGCCCACAAAGTGCAGCGTGGCCCCTCCGAGGAACGTGCACCCAGAGAACATGATCACGATGGGGTACTGCAGCGGCATTTGCTCGAGTAGAAACGTCGCTGCAGCGCCCGCGCCACTAAACGTCACGCCGACGTAGCAGTGGTGCGTCTTCCACATGTTCAGCGAGAGGCTCGTCAGCGTCTGGTCCGTAATGCAGCTGGTGTCATTGTCCACGGGCCTCTCCGGCTCAGGCAGCGCAGCGACGTCGGGCATTTTGAAGGGCAGACACAGCGGCCCATGCCCTTCGCTCGTGCATCCGCACAAGCACGAGGAGATCTCCACCGATTCCGTTTCAGGCGCGTAGCACGCTGCGTCGCCGTTACACATGCCGCAAGTGAACTGCGTCACGGTTTCCGGGAACTGAGAGTCGTACGCGATCTCTTCGCCTTCATGCGTGTTGCACCCCACCACAAACTTCGCGGGCCACACGACAGTCGTGGAGGAGGGCGTCAGCCAGGCAAACGGCAGATGCGACCCCTGGTGTCTGTTCCGTGCGACCACTGCAGTGGTGTTGTCGCCCGTCAGCTCTATGCTCTGGCTGCTTGTCATGTACAAGATCGCCGCTGAGTTCACACTGTTGTCCTCGACACGCCACTGCGCGCCACCATCCAAGGTGATGGAGCCGGACAGAAACACCAGCGCAGTTTCCGTGATCGTCATTCCGCCAGTAAAGGTGCAGCCCGACACGCTCAGGATCCCTGTGGACTCCAGGGCGACCCCCACATTGATGATCATACCGGTGACGGCAGCCATCGTGTTGTCCTCTATGCGCACGTAGCCGCCGTTCCTCACGTTCACACCCATGAAGCTCACTGCAGAGACCGTGAAGGGTCCTGCGTCCGTTGCCGTCAGCGTGTTTCCTTTCACGAGAATCCCGCACCCATCGAGTGTGACATCGCTATCAAAGTACAGCGCGTAGGTACTTCCCGTAACCTGGCTTTGCAGAATGTGCAGCTCCGAGTTTGTTCCCATCGAAAATGATTTGAACTGAATGCCGGTCTCCCCCGCACCGGAAAATGTATTCTGCTGGAGCAGGATCTTGGAGCTCGCTCCGAATTCACCGACGAACCGAAGATTCCCCGACGGCCAAGTCGTAGAGGTCACGTTCACGTACACCCGCCTTCCGTCTCCCCTGATCTCCAACCCCTTCAGGCTGCTCCCAGCGATCGTGAGATTGAGGAAACTGTACGTTGCATCGAAGTCGTTCATGTCAAAGATGATTGAACCATCGACGGACACCGCGAGGAGACACAGCCCAGGCCCCGTATCCCTTGGATCTCTGATGAGGTGTATTGTGCCACCGTACAGGCAGTGGGGCTCTGTGTAAATCGCAGGAGGCAAAGAGAGCCCGAGGCCCTCGGGAACAGGGGCCGGCAGGCACGTGTCACCGTAGCCGCCGTTGGCGCACACGCAGGAGCAACCTTCAATGCCCATCGTTTTCGCAGCGAAGCACTCAGCGGCACGCTCGCACACACCGCACTTCACCACTGTCACATGGTAAACGTTCTGGGTTGTATAATCTTCCAGAACGGAGCCCAGATACATGTTGCATACACCGTACACAGCTGAATCTGGGGACCGGAAAGAGAGTTTTTTGTTGGAAATGTACGCCTTGCCACGTTGGAACGAGCTTTCGAGAATGTTGTTGCGGAGCATCGACCACACGCTTGAATCCTCGACCTTCAAGGGCCCTCCCACACCATGCTTATCAACGATGTAAGAAACGTGGTACTCATTCTCGCGGTGCACCAGCCAGCTATGGTCCAGCACACTCGATTTGGATGCGGAGACAAAACCATACGCCAGATTGAACTTGTTCGACACGAACTGCATCACACTGCTGCCAGTCACTGAGAAGGCCTTGAGAAAAACCGAATGGGCTACGTGAGTTCCCCACACATTGTTTTGTATCGAGAACACCGAATTATTTGCGACTTGAATTTCGGTTTGCGCACCCTTCATCACGTTTTCCCTCACCCACAGATCGCAGTTGTCCATGTAAAAGGAACTCGAGTCCTTCACACGGAGATCAGGGGTCGCATAAATGAAGGCTAAATGCCCTTCTTCGGGCACAGCCGACAATCTCTGCAACACAAACTGCGTCGACAGAAGCTGCAAGTTGTCCAGCAGAAGCGGGGGGTTGTAACTCTTCCCAACAGCGGGGGGCGACACAACACTCCGCGACCCGGTGACGGCCGAGGCCAGCGATGAGTCCACCAGCCGTATATTCGAGTTCCTCGGCATGGTGTCCGCGAACACAAACATGGCTTCCGTCGACGTCAGGTTCGCCATGTTCACGAGAGCAGGAGGCAGCAGTGCCGCAATGTCCTCGCTGACGCCATTGATCCGAAACACAACTCCTTCCTCCAAAAGACAGTCTTTCAGCGTCACAGTGAGTGCGTCAACGGACCAGTCCATCAACTGCAGGTTCACTGTCAGATTGAGCGGCCCGCTGAACACAACCGACTCGTAGCACACCATCGTGCCCCATTCGCCAACCATCGCAGACTCTGTCACCACAACGTCCCTCACGCAGTTCTGCACACGGTCGTTGTTCGCGACGGGCAGGTCGAACGGCAGGCACGCTTTGCCCACACCGCCAGCGCTGCAGCTGCACGCGCAGTCGGAGAAGGACGCCGTCATGTCATCGTAGCAGCTTATCGACTCGGCGCAGCGGCTGCACACCTCGACGACCGCGCTGGGCAAGCCAGCCACACCGTATTCAGCGGCGCCCACCAGAAACAAACCTCCGGCACGATTGCACTGCACGCGCACGGAGCCGTTATCGATGGCCGGCTCATCGGCGAGTTTACCGGTGGGGACATCGCAGCGTGCGACCGATACGACTCCGCCGTCCAACGTAACACCCGTTAGGGACGCCAGCCACCCCTCCGCGCTGGTCACCGACACGTCTTGCATGTCCATCCACGACCCAGACCACACCGTCCCGCCGCCACATCGTACCACCCAGAAAGGAGTGTCGGCTTCAAGGCGCACGAAGCGGAGCACGGAGTTCCTCGCATCGATGCGGTCGCCAAGATTGAATCCACCGCCGGGGCCCGAGAAGGACACGTTCGTCACGGAGAACACGGAATGGTCCGCGAGACTGAGAACCGTCGTGGGTGACACATGCATCGCGTGAGCGCCGCCACCGCCCGACGTCTCCAGCGACACACTGTCCAACGCCACAACTGTGGACACCAGTCGCACGCCGTCGCCGCCGACGTATATCCCCACCCCGCCCGTGGCGTTTGACCGCAGCACGGCGTTGGTCACGCGAAGCTGCGAGTGTGACAGTGCCGTATTGTACAGCACAAGCGGCGCAGACACCGCGTGGCCCAGGCCGTCAATCGGGGCGTAGCTCACCGGGCCCGTTGTCACAATCGTCGAGTCGCGGATTGTCACCTTCGTGCGCGCCGGCAGGTTGTACGCGAACACAAGCGAGCAGAAGTGCCCGGACATCCCGCTCACGCTCATTTCAAGGCTCTGGTTGCTCGCCGGCTCGCCGCTGTACCCGCGCACGTAGATCTGCGACCCGCCGTCGCACACGCAGTCCCTTATGTCGATGCGCAGCGCGCCGGGGAACATTGTCGCCACGTCCAGCACCACTGGCACGCCGTTCGTGATTGACACGCCGTCGAGCAGCACGCCATCAACACCGTGACCAACGACGATGGCGTTGCTGATCGTGCCGCCCTGCACCTCGACCGCGATGGCGTGCGCCGCGGGAATGCAGGCAGCTGCGGCAACGAGCGCCACCACCGCGAGCAGCACCGCAGGCAGAGCCATATTGCCCTTGTGCCGTGAGCGGTACCCACTGCGCGGACGCATTGAATGACCAAAACAGGGGCTGCCCGACGGCCGCAGGGTGCTTGGCCCACGCCGTTGAAGGTGGATACTGCTTAGCAGGTACGTCTTGTCTGCTGGCACAAAAGAAAGCTTCCTCTTGGAAGCCAAGATATTCCAAAAGAAGTAATATTGCTTCTTGNCTCTCGAGTCGACTGGGTCGGTGCTGGATGCCTTTCTTTTGGCAGAGAAGACAAGGACAGAGAGTTGACCGACAAGCGTGGGAGGTCTGGAGAGCCGTGCAACCACAGGAGCCGCCACACCACACCTTTCGGCTCTTCTTCACACGGGGTGTGGAAGCGAAGTGAACAAAAAACAAAACAACGCACACCTAAAAAGAATAACAGCGTCCTAGTTCGTCATGCCGAGCTCAGCTTGATTTACCCCCTCCCCAAGACTCACTGCGCCACCCAGCCACCGTCCAGGGTGATGACGGCTCCGCGCATCTGGTCCGCGCCCGGGCTCGAGAGAAACACCACAGCATCCCCAACCTGTTCGGCGGCCACAAAAGTAAGCGACGGCTGCTTCGCCTTCAGCATCGACAGCGCAGCTGCGGACGTGTCGCCGTCAAAACCGGCGTCAGCAAGCGATTTGATTTGCTCCTCCACCAACGGCGTCAAGACGAAGCCCGGACACACCGCGTTGCATGTGATATTCGTCGTGGCGTTTTCAAGCGCGACAACCTTGGTGAGCCCGAGCAGGCCGTGCTTGGCTGCGCAGTACGCCGACTTGTTAACGGAGCCGATCTGCCCTTGAACCGACGCGATGTTGATGACGCGACCCCAACCGCGCCGGCGCATACCCGGCAAACAGAGCTGTGTGGTGTGAAAGGCAGCCGTCAGGTTGAGAGCGATGATGTCGTTCCATTTGTCTACCGGAAACGTGTCCACCGGAGCGACGTGCTGAATCCCAGCGTTGTTCACAAGAATGTCCACGGCGCCGAATTCCTTCTCCACAAACCCCACCATGACTTCGATCTGCGCCCGGTCTTTCATGTCGGCGCCGAAGTAGCGGACGCGCGTGCCGTGGGCGGCCACAGCGTCAACAATCCCTGGATCCTTGGGAGCCTGGTGCCTGCCATTAAGAACGACATCCGCACCAGCCCTGGCGAGCTGATGCGCGGCGGCAAGACCAATGCCCCCCGTCGACCCCGTGACGAGAGCCACCTTCCCTGATAGCATCGTTCTCTCGTGAGACTCCTTCTTACTTTGTATATTTCTGCAACGTGACCCTTGGGCGACATAACAGGAAGCAAAGCCACGCTCACACAAATACAAAACCACCCCAAAAGGGCGTCTGACGCCAGCCCCCATTATCCTGTGAATGCAGGACGCACGGGAAAGTTGTGCAACCACACACGTGCTCTCGGCTAGGGGGCGT